GTTAGAAACAAGTGTTTGTATTGCATTATTTCTTATTTTCGTGTGATATTTATGCCATTTCACATCGTTTCGTCTTGGTTGGATACAGTGATGCAAACACAGGTATGGTGAAAAAGAGAGAACTATTCGAAGCAGGAAAAAACAGCGTAATATACCATCTGACAAAGGCCTGTGCTATAATGCTTCAATTAACTGGCTATTCTTTATAATATACTCAGATCAATAGGAGACAGAGATGTTAAGATATAAATCAAGGGTTTTTATTATTATTTACAGCAGGGGTGGGGAACCTTTTTCCTTTCAATTTTTACAACATCCTCCGAGGGCCGTACAAATTATTGAACTCAACCTCTGCTTAAAAAAACTAAAATCTCAGCCAATTCATTTGGCCTTTCTTTCATGCTGTGCAAAGAAAAAGCAACCTCTTAATCCAGATATCTTACCACGACTCGCGCATGCATGCATGTGCACGGTGTGGCATGACCACCAAAACAGAAAGATATGGACACAAGATGTGTTCAAATGTATTTAGTATCCATGTGAACATGATTTAAGTGGGGGGGACCTAACCTCCTCTAGGGGGGTCTGGGGGCATGCTCCCCCGGGATTTTTTTTCTTAAATATTGAAGTTAAAAGCATCAATCTGGTGCACTTTGAGAGCAACATGAGGAGATCTATGGGTACATCTTTCAACACCCATTTGAAACAGAACTGTAAGCAGATTTTTCTTTTGGGATATTTTACAAATCACTCTACTTTTAAACTCTATTCTTGTTATTCTTAAAAACTTTTTTGTTACTGTCATATAGTAGTCTCTAATGTCTCATTAATAATTATAATGATCATATCAAGGTGTGCCTTAACCTCACTGAGCTGAGGTTATTTGAGCCTCTCAGGAGAGAGCTCTCTTCCACCTGGTTGTAGAAAAGCTCTTTAAATTCGTTAGCATAGCTAGCTAACCAGATGCTAATAACAACAGATCGCCACTGTGCTTACAACTAAAGACACAGCCACGCAAACACTGCGGCATGTGTACGGCTCCTTATGGGTACTGGCTGCAATATTTGAAGAGCTGGAGCGGCGTTCCGGTGCTCTCCGTAAGCACTCTAGTCTAGTCCAGAGCCCTAGAGAGAATCTTTGTGACAATTATCTTCATGACAATTGACATGTGCAGAAAATGACCCTATATCTAGTTTTCTTATATATATATATGCATTTATTATTTTCTTGGCCTAACTTTTATCAATTTTTTCTCCAGTTTTCTTTATTTCTTTGTACTCAAGTATTCAAGTACTTTGTACTTAATTTCTATTCGTTTTTGACACAATAATGCCAATGTTGTATTAGGATGATTCACGGGAGGGCTACTTCCCATAAGCTATGCTTCGGCCCTCCCGCTTCTACTCATTTTGTTTATCTTTGTGTGTATGAATTATACTTTTTCTTTTTTGGATGAATTAGTAGAATAAAAATATAAATTCAAAAGAAATTCAAAAAATTTCGTTCAGCGGTTTTATCAGATAAGCACAAGAAATATTTCCAATTCAAACTGATAACCATAACGTAAATAAAACTCCTGTAAGAAAGATAGAATATATTAATATTAAATAGCCTAAAATAGTAATTGACTGAATTGAATTTAAATTCACCGTTCATGTTTTTGAAAAATAAAACATAATCATTAAAGATTTAAAAAGCTGTATTGTTGACAACCATAGCTACAGTTCTTCTTCTTCACTGTGTTTGCTTGAGCATTGCTGCAATTTTTAATGATTTACATCCACCTGTATACTAATGTGAAACCATTGGTGAAAATTGGTCCTAACCTTAAAAAGATGCTCCATAGCGCTACTATTGGTTTAAAACTCCACTATTGTTGCCTGAATCTGTTATTATGTTGAAATCTACCAAATCCTAAAGAAACTTTCTCAATCTCGTTCCACTTTTAGTTTTCTTATCTGTTTCCCCAGGAAGTCAAAGTCATTCTGTTCTTTACATGCTCTCTTCTAAGCTTAAAGGAAGTTCTATAGTTGCTGCACTTTTCTTGTTTCCCCTTTGAGGGCAGCCGTTTCCTTCTGTAATCTACAGAAACACACTTAACTTCTCAACTGGATTGTTTTAGTTTTATTTTGAAGCTCAATTGCATTTGCTCGCATTGGTAAGGATACTTTTAATATATGAAATGTTATCTGCTTGTCCTCAGCCTCATTGAACCAAATATCTGGTTGGCCTTCTCTGCCATCTTTGATTTCTCACAAAATGTTACTGTGGTATCTTGCTATTTATATCAACAACCATTTGATGTCTTCATGTCAGATGTCACTGTGTGTCATATGATCTGTTGCATTCCCAATGTGCGGCAACAGACAGTGTGAACCGACAAATGCTAGGTCATGGATGTTTGATACTTAACTGGTAAACACTTTTATTTCCCCCCAAAACAGTCCATGGAGCCTTCTTAACCTGATGATCTCTAAGTGTTACTTGATTTATTTGTTTTATTCAGCGAGGCTGGCATTTTTTTCATGGATGTGAAAATTGTGGGCATGGTCTTGACAAACTGAGATACAAGCATAAATGTTGCATATTTGTCTTTTAACCTTATAATGAAAGGTTGACTTTGTTTTATCGCTACATGTCTTGCACATAGCAGATAGAGTTTGCCCAGTCTTAAATTTCAATACATTTAAGACTGAGAATAAAATAAATCCTAGCTACACAAAGGGCTTCTTGTCCATATTGACTTTTTAAGTCCAGTTAAAACGTGAGCCAAATACTTTACACTACATTTAAATACAATAAAACATTAACTAGATACAATCTATATATACAAAGCTATAGTCTGATAGTATTCAGACACAAAACTCTGATGTTATGCCATGAGTTGTTGCTGATATTTTTAATTGCCACCCTTGTTTAGATTCAGCAATTATGTAAAAGGTCTCTTAGTTGTCCCTTTTAGCAGTTAATGTGACACGGATAATTTAATTATAGCTGAAAATAAATGCTTGCAAGTTGACTGAAAGATGTTTTTCTTGCACGTCTTCTTCTTGTTTGGAGTTTTTAGCATGAAAGCAAATGAGGAAGTAATCTAAAACAACATTACATTACATTGAGTTTAGCTGACGCTTTTATCCAAAGCGACTTACAATAAGTGTGTTCGACCAACAAAATACAAACTTGAAAAAAACAGAATCATATAAGTACATCAGGTTTCATAGAGCTAAAACATTTCAAGTGCTACTCAACTGGCTTTAGATAAGCCAGTTCTATAAGTGCTTTGTTAATAGTTATAACGCTCAAAGTGGAGTCAATAGAGATGAGTTTTCAGTCTGCGCCGGAAGATGTGCAAGCTATCTGCTGTCCTGATTTCAATGGGGAGCTCATTCCACCATTTTGGAGCCAGGAGAGCAAGCCCAAGTGTTTTTGCTGATGGGAACTTGGGTCCCCCTCGCAGTGCGGGTGCAGCGAGCTGTTTGGCTGATGCAGAGCGGAGTGCACGTGCTGGGGTGTACGGTTTAACCATGTCCTGAATGTAGGAAGGGCCAGATCCATTCACAGCATGGTACGCAAGTACCATTGTTTTGAAGTGGATTCTAGCAGTTACTGGAAGCCAGTGAAGGGAGCGGAGGAGCGGGGTGGTGTGGGAGAATTTTGGAAGGTTGAAGACCAGACGAGCCGCTGCATTCTGGATGACCTGCAGATGCGGATGGGCAGCATACAGGTAGACCAGCCCAGGAGGGAGTTGCAGTAGTCTAGGCGTGAGATGACCGAGGAGTTTCTGGACTCAACCTGCGCTTCGCTTTCTGGGTCAGCTGGGGACGTATTCTCCTGATGTTGTAAAGAGTGTGTATCTGCCAGCAGCGGTCTGTAGCAGCGATGTTGCGCTGAAAGGACCAGTTTGTTATCTAGGGTCACACCCTAGATTCCTTGCAGTCTGAGTCGGTGGAACACGAACACAGGTGCCATGTTGATTGTTAGTCAAGAGTGGGACAATTCTGTTTTTCCGGACAGGAAAAGCAGTTCAGTCCTTGTCAAGGTTGAGCTTTTATTACATGTATTTAGCCTGACAGCTTTTATCCAAAGCGACTTACAATAAGTTGCGTCGACACAAAGTACACAACTTGAAGAAAACAAGACAATATAAGTAATGATCAGGTTTCATAGAGCTAAAACATTTCAAGTACTCAACTGCTTAGATATAAGCCAGTCCTTTATTAGTAATATAAGTGCTTTGTTAATAGTTCATCGCGCGAAGTGGATCGAAAGGAGAATGAGTTTCAGTCTGCGCAGGATAGATGGTAAGCGTTCCTGCTGTCCTGATGTCAATGGGGAGCTCATCACCATTTTGGACCAGATAGCAAACCCACGTGTTTTGCTGATGGGAACTTGGGTCCCCTTGCAAGTTGCGGGTGCAGCGAGCCTGTTGTGCTGGAATGGCGAGCGGCAGTGCACCTGTGCTGGGTGTACGGTTTAATCATGTCCTGGATGTAGGAGGGTAAGATCCATTCGCAGCATGGGTACGCAAGTACCATTGTCTNAGCCATTATAGATCATATGGCCATCTGAGTGTGTGTGGTACTGTTTGTGGTTTGTTTTTCACTGTGTAATACAGTTAATTATTCAAAATGTTAGAGTTCCTTATTTGTATACTGAAACTTGCACTTCTGTTCAAAAATAAATAACAACAACAAACCTGAAATTATGCATTTGGGACTTTTTTTTACTTTTTCTTGTTGTACAGTACCAAACCCGTACCGAACTGTGACCCCCAAACCGAGGTACGTACCAAACCGTGAATTCTGTGAACCTTTATACCCCTACCGTGTCGTGTTGAGCTGTTTGGCAAAGTGTATCTGGAGATAAGAAAATCTCATTTGGTCATCCTCTCAGAGAATGATTTGACACATACACATATATTTTTTCTTCTTTTAACCATAGCAGTGGAGTGGTGTAGATGTTGTAATGTTTCATCAGATTAGTTCCCACCACGGTTACATATGATGGGCTGGACTGATGCAATTGGAGGTTTGTGGTTGTTTGAGACGGAGGATTGACTCTTGCTGCTTTTAATTAGCATCAGTGGGCTTATAAGGGTTTGTCTTCTGTGGTATTTTGTTGTTCTTCCTCTGAATGTTCCCAAAGCACTGGTTTACAACCTTTTTCTGAGTTGACACAATTCTGTATCATTTGAAATTATCAAATTTCTACATTTCAACAATAGTTCCAACACTAACCACAGTGACTCAGTCTAGTTCATTGAAACTTTCACTTCTGCTTATTGTTGTTGATAGGGTAAAATGCCTTAACACGGCTAAACCAACAAATGGTTGCTTAGCCCCAATCCCCATCTCCACAATCACAAACTTAAGGACTTTGAGACTCAGGACTGTCAAATTGTCAATTGCACAGGGGATTTGATGCAAGCTTTTCTTTTTGTAAATCCGCAGATCTGCAGACTTTCCTGAGGGACCTTAGTTCTTAGTGATTATGTATAAACAGTGGATGTCCTATTTTTTATTTACTTATCAAAACACTACTCAATGTTCTTATCAGTGTTCAATTAGCTGAAATTAAGAAACAGAATAAAACAGACTTCAGCATAAAAGCTAATTCTGAAGAACGATTCACCTAATTTCATATTCAAGAGAAAAAAATTGAGGCAAGTACAATTGCTCTGTATTAAATATTTTCACCCACATTGATTAGTGTTTAAAGTTATTTCAGGTTGTAGATACATTGGGATCAGTCTGAACAACTCTTCCCTTTGCGGTACCGGGAGACAGAACCAAACCTATAATCTGACCGGATGCCACTTATGGCGCATTTCCACTGCAGGGCCTCGCTCGGCTTAGTACGGTATGGCTAGGCCTCGTTTTTTCCTCGACAACATTGAGAAAAAAATGATTACAGCTGGTATATTCAATACCTTAGAAAGACTTTTGATACTGTGAACCATACTGCTACACAAATTAGAACATTATGGGGTCAAGCAAAAATAACGGGTTAAGAGTTATCTGATAAATAGGCTACAATATGTGGATATAGATGAGGTGAAATCAAACAAGCTTCCTATAACATGTGGAGTCCCCTCAAGGATCAATTTTAGGTCCAAAACCGTTTCTGATTTATATTACTGACATTATCAACACCTTGGACCTATTACATTACATTGCATTTAGCTGATGCTTTTATCCAAAGCGACTTACAATAAGTGTGTTCGAGCAACAAGATACAAACTTGAAGAAAACAGAATCATATAAGTAATCAGGTTTCATAGAGCTAAAACCAGTGATGCAAACACAGGTATGTTGAAAAAAGAGAGAACTATTCGAAGCAGGAAAAAAGCAGCGTAATATACCATCTGACAAAGGCCTGTGCTATAATCAATTAACTGGCTATTCTTTATAATATACTCAGATCAATAGGAGACAGAGATGTTAAGTTATAAATCAAGGGTTTTTATTCTATTGATCTGAGTATATTATAAAGAATAGCCAGTTAATTGATTATAGCACAGGCCTTTGTNGTGTGCCTTGGCAGTCTCAGGATTAAGAGGTTGCTGTTTCTTTGCACAGCATGAAAGAAAGGCCAAATGAATTGGCTGTGATTTTAGTATTTTTAAGCAGAGGTTGAGTTCAATCATTTGTACGGCCCTCGGAGGATGTTGTAAACATTGAAAGGAAAAAGGTTCCCCACCCCTGCTGTAAATAATAATAAAAACCCTTGATTTATCTCTGTCTCCTATTGATCTGAGTATATTATAAAGAATAGCCAGTTAATTGAAGCATTATAGCACAGGCCTTTGTCAGATGCTATATTACGGTGTTTTTTTTCTGCTTCGAATAATTCTCTCATTTTTCACCATACCTGTGTTTGCATCCCTGATCATAAAACGGCCTCTAGGTTAACTTGTTTTCTACATGTTAACACTGGACTATCAGGGATGCAAACACAGGTATGGTGAAAAATGAGAGAATTATTCGAAGNTAATTTTTTTTATAATTTTTTTTTTTTAATTATTATTAATAATAACTTTGCATAGACATTTTCAGGGGCGGACTAGCCATCTGTATAATTTCCCTGCAACGAGGCTCCCCCTTTGAAAATCCACTAGCGCAGTGTTTCTCAAACCACCCCTTAATGTTGCTCTCAAAGTGCACCAGATTGATGCTTTTAACTTCAATATTTAAAAACAAATCTTCCCGGGGGAGCATGCTCCCGGACCCCCCTAGAGGAGGTTAGGCCCCTCCCCTGACTTAAATCATGTCCACATGGATAGAATACTAAATACATTTGCACACATCTTGTGTCCATATCTTCCTGTTGTGGTGGTCATGCCACACCGTGCACGTGCATGCATGCGCTAGTCATGGTAAGATATCTGGATTTAGAGGTTGCTTTTTCTTTGCACAGAATGAAAGAAAGGAGAAATGAATGGGCTGTGATTTTAGTTTTTTTAAGCAGGGATTGAGTTCAATAACTTGTACGGCCCTCGGAGGATGTTGTAAAAATTGAAAGGAAAAAGGTTCCCCACCCCTGCTGTAAATAATAATAAAAATCCTTGATTTATCTCTGTCTCNTGAGAGCAACATTAAGGGGTGGTTTGAGAAACACTGCGCTAGTGGATTTTCAAAGGGGGAGCCTCGTTGCAGGGAAATTATACAGATGGCTAGTCCGCCCCTGAAAATGTCTATGCAAACGTTATTATTAATAATAATAATTAAAAAAAATAAATAATAATTTTTAATACATTTAGTATACACTCCTTTAAGACGAGACATATACCACGTGAAGACACGTTAAGCTCGTGTTGTGTTCAAGGAACCTGTCCTTGGCCAGTAAAAACAGGCACTCGCTTGTTTAATTATTTTGCCGTCTAGATTTCTTCACGAATTACACAAGTCACCCAAATCACCTTTAAAAAAGAGGGAGGCGCCGAAAAGCGACCAATTTGCATCACTATATGATAACGTTTTGGTATAATTGGCAATTTTTATTTCACTCAAGGTTCAAGGCTTTTATTTGGAATACGTACATAGCTAAAGAGCAGTTATGACGATGAAAATCTTAGGACACAGGCTTCTCCAACAGAGCAACACAATCAAACAGAAAAATAGTGAAAGTAAATACAATAAGAAAAAATGTGGAATAGTGCAATAAGAGTCTATATGCAAGTGATTGAATATAATATATTAGATAAATAATCTCTAAATTGCAGCCAGATTAATGTTGTGGATGTTGTTTCAAAGTTCAGTTGTTTAACAGTCTGATGGCCTGTGGGATGAAGCTGTCCCTGAGTCTGGTGGTTTTAGTCTGGATGCTGCAGTACCGCCTGCCAGACGGCAGCAGACTGAACAGTTTGTGGCTGGGTTGATGGGGGTCTTTTGTAATCCTGAGGGCTTTCTTCCTGAGGCGCTGGGAGTAGAGGTCCTCCATGGATGGCAGCTCCGTCAGGACGGAGCTGCCATCCATGGAGGACCTCTACTCCCAGCGCCTCAGGAAGAAAGCCCTCAGGATTACAAAAGACCCCCATCAACCCAGCCACAAACTGTTCANGAGATAGAGAGTGTGTGTGTGTGTGTGTGTGTGTGTGTGTGTGTGTGTGTGTGTGTGTGTGTGTGTGTGTGTGTGTGTGTGTGTGTGTGTGTGTGTGTGTGTGTGTGTGGTCTCATGTAAACTATATCTGTAGCCTGGGACCTGCGTAGGCAACGTGGCCCACCTAAGGTAAAGGGATGTCATTCTACCAACAGCGATTATTGCACTGCATGGCCACCCAAACCAGCAGACCAATGCAAACGGCTCCATATGTCCAAAGTGCCAAATCACGAATGGCGCATTTTTGTTTTGTGTTTATGTGAGCATGCGTGCCTGGGCGTGCGTTTGTGTGTGCAATTGTTTCCATGTTGTATGTGTGCGTGCGTGCCTGTGTAACATAACGGTTATTTTTGTGTCAGAAGGAAATTTATTGAAAGATTTGTATAACAGTACATTAAAATTCTGATTTATGTGGCAAATAAAGAGAAATTATTTTTAAACACTTAAACTGAAAGTATACGTCTATTTATATGTTCAATATCAGGGATGACATTCGAAAGATCAAAGCTGTAGTCCCTTCCCTGTTGTTTAAGACTCGCGAAACTAAAGATGCAAAGCCATGTTGAGCTACGTATATATATTAACGTAAAGTAACAAAAACATTGATTGTGCAGAAAAAAATACTTCTAATTTTATTATTTTTCAAATAACGTTATTAGATCAGTAGTAAGCAGCATTTTAATGTTGTGGTTGGTTGAGATGGAGCAGGTTTTACATAGCCTACTGCTGGATAGTTTAACATACTAGAATACAATGATTAATAGAATCGCATTTGCCCATTATAGGTTTTTGAAGTTTGAATGAGCAAGAAAAAGAAAGAAGAGTTTTCCTGTTAGATGCTTTCCGTGTCTAAAACAAAATGCTATCAAAATGTGCTGGGGTCTCCTTTTTTCAATCTTTGAAAAATATATTGAAATATACAACCATTGCAGATATGTACTCATTCACATAATGTTACAGAAAAAGACATAATTAAATATCACAAGTGCAATAACTTGTATTTAATTATAAATAGGACTCTCAAAGACCCAATTTCATGGTGGGTCATTTTTGATTATTTTTCTTTGGACATTTAGAAATGTTCTTTGTCTTCCTACAATATTATATCCAATACCTCTTATTCCTCCACTTGTATGTTGAAGATTCTGCTGCTGTAACACTTGAATTGAGTGGACACAAAACATTTGTATTGGTTATCCTTTTTTATCAGCAATAAAGGGAAAACAAAGATTAAAATGAAATAAATAAATAATGTAAAATATATAGAAAAAGTAGAATTGGTTTGAAAAAACTTAACAAATAGGAATTAGACACAATAGGAATACAATAGGAGTACAATAGGAATTAGACATCAATTTGACAATTTTTAAGAGTTCAACATACTGTTTGACATTTGTATTACCTTATTTTATAAATGTGGGATTATTTATATGTCCTATAATTCACCTCAAATCCCAGTGAAATCGTGGGGGATGTTGTGGGTGGGGGGTCCTGCCCTGACCCCCCACATGTGACCGTACGGTACCAGGGAACTGTAGTAGGAGGCGGAGCTACTTTACTGTAGCAGGTTAACGCCGCTCCGTTCAACACACAAGCAAAGAAAACACAGTATGGCGTGAGAAAGCGGTCTTTCTCACTTTATTCTCCGGGTGGGAAACACAACACCGAAGACAACAGAGCCAACCAACCTAGGTGAGTGTAATTGAAGTTGTCGCTTTACTTTTGTCACGCTTTCCTAATAGTGTGCAGACCTGTTAAGAGCTAACTACTGCGTGCTAACATTAGCCTGTTAGCTA